CCCCCAGCTGGCCCTCCTCACTTCCAGAAGCAAAGGGAAAAGCCGATGGCACTGAAGCCACTGCAAAACTACGGTGCATTCGGGGGTTGTGAGCCTCCAGCCAGCCGGTTTTGGGGGTACACGCGTGCCGAGCAGGGTGGCTCTCGGAGGACCTGTTACCTCCCCACCGAGCCAAAGTTGCCCAGTGACTGCAGGTCCTTTCCTTTTTTATTTATTTTTTTTTTATTTCTTCCTTTTCTTTTTTTTAACGTGGCCTCCAAAATAAAAGGAGAAAAAAGCGCCTGAGTTACTTGTAGTCATTCGCCTTTCGTGCAACTTGAACGTCCATGCAATTTAAAAACCGCTTGCGCATCTCTGAAGAGCGAGATAGGGGTAGCCACGGGTCTGCTGCTTCGCACAGGGAACCCACCTGTGCCAGCATCCGCTATTATTATAATTATTATTATTATTACAATGTTTTTCTTTTCTTCCTGTTTTGTTTTTTTGTGTTAAGAGAACATGTGACAGGCCGCAGGAGAAAATTGCCAAAGAGGACTAGTGATGGGAGGGAAAAGGGGAAGACGGGAGAGGATGCGACTTTCCGCATCCTCCCGGGAGGTTCCCAGGGAACATCTGCCTTCCCCAGGTGCAGGGTGGCAGGAGCCCCCCACACCTGCCCGTGGGCTGGGGTCACAAGCACCCCTGGGGAGGTGGGGAAACGCCGTGACCCCCCTCTCCAGGTGGACTCACAGCAGCTCACCTGTGACCAGCGCTGGGCTCTGGGTCAGCAACGGATGTCAGCCCATGGCCAAGCTCCCTGGGGACGGGAGGGCTCGAGACAAAGCCCCCCCGCGCCCCCAGCAAGTCACCAGGCGGCCAGCAGGTTTTGGGAGAAGCGCGGGGGCCGGCGAGGACCCTCCGCTGCAGCTGGGCAAGGGAAGGTTTCCGAGGGCATCTCCGGTGTCCCGCAGACCCAGCCCACATTGTTATCTTCTACGGGTTGTTTGAAACACGCAGCATTCACCAATGGAGCTGCTGGGATGGAGTTTCTTCCATGGGTTTTGACGGTTGTCTCTTTTTTTTCCAGATGGAAAACACCAGTCATGGTCCCGCGTTTGGTCCCGAGTGGATGTCACCGCTCGGGACCGTGATGCCGAAAGCTGGGAACACGCCTCTCGCTGCTGCCTTCGCTTTGGTCACCTTCCCTGCGCTGGGACATGCATCCTGTCTGGCGTGACTTTATGGCTGTCTTACGTAGGTGCGTGGTTTTGGTTCCTCTATGTGTGTGTTTGGCTTGTGTTGAGTTTATAGGGGTTTCGTTGGGATTTTTTTTGTTGTTTGCTGTTTTCCTCCAAAATTCCAACCCTTTTCCCCCCCAATTCACTTCCCTAACCCACAATGCACTTCCTCACACTCCTTCTCGGATCAGCTCCAAGTCCTTCTCCAAAATTCAAGAATCACCCGCAAGCGCTGGCTCATCTTTTCTGGCCAGAGCCAAGCATGACCCTGGAGACAAAGTTGACGATGGCTGCAGCCGGTTGGTCAGGGTCCAGCTCAGCAAAGAGGTGGCAGATGTTGTCTGTGGTGCTCCCTTGCTTCCTGGCCACAAAGCCGAAGAGCCTGGGTGGGGAGAAGGCAAGAGGTTCAGCGAGGTTTGCCAGCGTTGCTCACCCAAGGAACACCACCACCCTGTTCCAGCATGGTCTTGTCCACCTTCCCCTCTTTAACATCCACCTTGTGCAACACAGAGGGAGACATCCCAAACCAGCCTGCATGAAGACCCATCTACTCTTCCCTTTGCTGCAGTTTCTTTGAAGGCCAACACTGCGTTTCCATCTTCTCTTGGCCAAACCCCCTTTGCACTGACCATCCCTGCCACCCTCTCCTAGACCCCAAGGTCTAGGAGGACCTTCCAGATGATCACAGCATTGCCTTAGTTTGGGTGATGACTCTTGAAACCACAGAGGTGTGATGGGCTGGCCATTGGGGTAGACCCTGTATGAGAGGAAGGCCATGTGGGGACACAGGGAGCTGGGTGACACCATGCAGTTATTTCTGTCTGTCTCTCCCCGATGAATAAAATGTCCTTTTTTTTTTTTTTTTTTTTTTTTTTTTTTTTTTTTTTTTTTTTTTTTTTTTTTTTTTTTTTTTTTTTTTTTTTTTTTTTTTTTTTTTTTTTTTTTTTTTTTTTTTTTTTTTTTTTTTTTTTTTTTTTTTTTTTTTTTTTTTTTTTTTTTTTTTTTTTTTTTTTTTTTTTTTTAATTAGAACGTGCAAACTCAAGTTATAAATACAGGGGAACAGAATGTGAGACAGGCCCAGGCCATGGCATTTCTAATAGGAGAGGGGAAATATCCCAGCAGCTGGACATCCTAATAAAAACCCCTTTGCTAACACAATGGCTAAAATTAGTGGGAATTGGCCCCTGGAAATGGGCTCAGCCGGCAGCTTTGTGCTCCCGTGGGTCAGGACAGGGAGGAGAGGAGGAAAGGGAAGAGCCAGCCAGTGGCTCACACGCCATCAGCGTAACCCCCAGCTCTGCTCCATGACCTGGCTCCCGCTGACTCCACTGGGAGAGTTTCCAGTAAGGCCAGTTCAGCAAGGACCATGCCTGCTCTGACCAGGAATCTGGGGCTGAAAGATGCTTCCTGAGTCCCCGGGACCATGGTCTCATGCTTGGGTGAAATGTTCCTGCAGTGAGGAGCTGAGCCCATCTCATGCTGCCCTGCATGAGGGCAGCCAATGCTGCATCTCCCAGACAATGCTCAAACTCAGGCAGGAGCCACCCCGACAGCGGCTGGGAGGAATCGAGCACGGAAAGTACTTACTTGGCTGGGCCGCTGCCGTCAGTTTTAGTCCACCTGCAAAGAGAAGAGGAGGTGTGAGAGATGGTGCCTCCTGCAACCCACAGAGAGACAGGGCTGTGATGGGGGCCACCGCACCAACGCTGGAAGGCCAGCCTGGCTTTGCACAGGCTTGGCTCTATGGAAAAAAACTGATGTGCCTCTCCCTCAGCATGAAGATGCTTGGAGGCACCAAGAAGTCACCAGGAGAAGCTGGTGTTGCCCCACAGTATCCAAGGGGACCCTCCATCCCTGCCTTCTGCAGGAGCAAGAGGGACGGAGCAAGCAAAGACCCTGCTCCAAGCAGCCCAGGAGCCTGGGGCAAGGAAAGGGTCAGGGGACATGTGCTTCCCCCGGGTTAGGGCACTCACTTTCGTTCCTGGGGGTCCAGGTCGCAGAAGGTGACAGTGTTGAGGGGGTAGTGTCGTCGGAAGAACAATCTGAAACACAAGGCAGGGAGTGTCAGGGCCAGGGAGCCCCCACCTCTGCCCCATCACAGCCCAGCCCCACCAGCATGGAGGACACTCCCATAGGTCTCTAGGATGCTCCAGCAGTCAAGGACAAAGCCCAGCCCTGCCCATGACCAGGCTCATGCCACCCCAGGGATGTCCTTCACCAACACACTCTCTGGATCACAGCCCCATTGGCTTTGGGGACCCGGGGACGTGGCCATGGGGGCTCTTACTTCCTCTGGTTGTCGGTTAAAGTGATGCCTTGTGCGGAGACTTTGAAGTGGACGATGGTAGCGGTGGGCGTGGGGTCGGCCACCAGCGTCTCGGCAACGGCCTTCGCAATGGCCTGGGGGCCCGTCAGTGACTCCATCTCCACCGAATTGATGAAGAGGACGTTGCAGGCTGGAAAGGCAGACGGCAGGCATGGGGTCAGCCACTACTTCGGGCCACATTCACCCCACAGCAGCCCCTCTCTACTCACCCGCACCCTGTTTGAGGAGGTCTGTGGCCGAGTTGGTGGCCGACACGGTGTCTTTCTTTTCCTCCATGGGATCTAGAAGATACAGAGTGTTATTGCTGCTCCCTGCTTGGAAACCTACCCTGTCCCAGGCAGGCTGTGGGGGCAGATGCACTCCCTTCTGGCCCTGGCTCTTACCTCGGTCAGGTATGACCAGCTTGCAGGGCAGGGCCAAGGGCATGATGGAGTGTTGGTACACCAGAGCTGAGAGGCAACCTGGGGAGAGAGGGGAGATGGTCAGTGCAGGGCTGGGGACACGGGTTTCCCCGGTGTTAGGTCATTGTTGCTCCAGGTGGATGGGAACAGGCTTTTTGGTGGGTTTCTTCACTGTGGTCCTAATGCCACACGTGGCATTTCCTCCTGCTGAAACCACCGTGCCCACGGAGGGCTCAGGGAGGGGGCAGAGATGCCAGGGCCACCTTAGGAACAACGAATGGGGCAGAGGTCCTCGTGCAGCACCTCAGAGCACATTAGCCATGGGATAACTGGAACAAGGGGAGCCCCTGCCCTCCACCCTGCCCAGCAGCACCATTTGTCCTACACGTGTGTGCAGGAAGGTACGTACCTGTGCATATACGCACATTTGTGTGCACTCATGAGTGTGCATGACGCCAGAGGCTCCAAATGCCCACAGGACTCAGTTATGCAGAGACAAGAGGCAGTAACAGAGGTGGGGGCTCTCTCCCAGATTGTCTGCTTTGATAGTCCAGCAAAGGCAAGGCTCTCCCAACCCAACCCCACATGTGGGAAGCACGCTGGGGGCACTCACCAAAATTGGGCTCGTTGGGGCATCCTTTTAGTTTCACACCCCGCGGGCTGGTCTCGATGAGGAAGTGCCTCACCAGCTCATTGGTGATGTCTCCTGGGAAGAGATGGGATGTTCTCACATCAGAGCCACCCTACTCGTCCTCCCACTCTGCAGTCCCACGTGGAAACCAGTGCTCCAGCTCGAGGGAGGGGTCACTGCCGCTTCGCACACCCTCCTCGAATCCGTCCCTTTGCACAGGGTCAACCCCAAGCCAGGGTCCCCCATGGTGTTGGTAGGCCAAGGATGCTGTGCCTGTTTCGCCATGCCAAAGCCCAAGATGCAGATGCCCCTGAGCCCTCCACAGCTCAGGGCAGAGGGTGTCTGGTGCTTCCCTGTGCCCTGGGAGGGGAGAGCTGGGAGGGAGGGATCCTGCCACATCAGCACATACCCAAGGGCACGACTGGCTCAGCAGATCCAGCTGCCCGCTCGCCCCGGCCGAACGATGGAAGGCATCTTGGCGTGGGATGGAGAAGGGCACACAATACCTTTCTTGTTCTGCTGCATGACCGTGGGAGGTGGAGAAGCTACTTTCATGGCGAGGCCGTAGGCTCCCCGGAAGGAGTGGCTGTCTCGGATGATGAAAGCCCCTGGCTCCCTGTCCTTCAGCAGTGCAATGGCTGCAGGAGAGAACGGCAGACCTCAGAGCTGGCACAGTGAGAGCCGATGAGCCCTCTAAAACCAGCAGGTGTGGGTTGGGATGGGGCGCCCCAGCTCTGTGGCCTCACAGCTGGGCACCATGACGTTTTACTGTCCCCCCTGCACATCTGGATGGGGGTCTCAAGTGGGTCTGCGGCCAGGCGGGGGCTCATCTGCCCCGCCCTGCCTCCGCTGCCCTTGCGTGGGCATCTCAGAGCATCCATTCCCCCACAGCCCAGCTCTGAGCAACCGAGCACTGGAGAGCAGACAGGGACCAGGGGCCAAATGCTGAGACCTTGGCCCTGAAGGCACCTTGCCCCTTCCTTGTTCTCCCCTCTTATTTTACCCATGTCTCCAAGACCCCTCTGAGCTCTCTCAACTCAAGATCTGGATGCTTTGCACCCCAAACTGCATAGATCCACTGCACGCTGTGGGGACCAGTGTTCCTCCACCAAGGGGAAGGTTTGGGGAGCCCACATCATGCAAGCCTGCAGCTGAGCTGGGCTTCAACCCTCCTCTGCCATGGTCTGAGCATCCGCAATCTGCCTTCACTCTAATCCAGCCCCTAAGGGAAATCCTCGCTAATCCCTGTGATCCCAGATACACCCCAACTCCCAACCGCAGCTCACTTGACTGTATTCTTTGCCCTGTGCCATCTACCCACCCTGCTCCCTGGAGATCTCCGGTTTATACCAGTACTTGGAAGTGTCCTGCACAAACTTGACGTTGGCACGAGTCTCGGGGCTGATGTCTGCAAGGAAGGAAAGAGAAGAAGACAAGAAAAAAGTTAAAAGATGCTGTATCTAAAACTCCACATGAGTTTTTCACAAATCCGGCTAAAGCATTTACTCCTCCACCTCTTCTCCGCCCCAACACATTGCCTTAACCTCAACCTAATCCTCCATACCCAGGCAGGCTGATCATCACCTGGACTTTATGGGGCTGCTAGGCATCTAAAGCTAAGCCCAGACACAAGGGCCCTCGAAGGGCTGTGCCTGGGATGAGCCTCCTTGCCACAATAGGCAGAGACAAAATGGGAATTCATCATTTAAAAGGGAGCTGGCCAGGTGAAATGAAAGCTGTCGGAGGAAAGAGATATGTCCAGGGGGTGGTGGGGAGATCCCCTGACTTCAGAGGACCTTCACTGCTCTCTAATGTTCAAGATTTGGCTCGTCCATCATAAAAATAAATTCCTTCCTTTATCTTTGCTCTGTGCAGAGGAACTGGACAGGTCGACCTACCCTCGGAAACGCAGCCCCCAGCCCCAGCCCTGCCCTGCCTTGCTCTGTGCCCATCAGTGGTATGGCCCCAATGGGAGCCAGTCCTCTGGCCATGAAGCCACCGCTTTGCTCGGGCAACATTTCCAACCACCTGCTTTCCAAAAACAACCGAGCAAACAACCCGGCGGGCCAGATAGATAGCATCTTTTATCCAGGAAGAGGGGGGGGGGGGGGGGGGGGGGGCTTGCTCCCCTCCCCAGCCCACTTGCTAATTGTTACGGTTTTTAATTGCTTGTGCTTCCCGGCTGGGAAAGGTCCCCAGCCACGGCGAGTCACGGGGCTGGGGCAGGCGCCAGAGTACCCACAAAGGGCTGCCCGCTTGGCAGTGAAACCGGCCCGGCAGCCGGAGCCACTACTGCCCCACGGCTTTATTCCCCTCGTCCTATCGGCCCAATCTTGGCGTCACCAAGGTGTCCCGTAACGGGAGGCGGCGAAGGGCTTCCAGGCGCAGCGGCACCTGAGGCACGGCACACTATTTGAAACAAGGAGGCAGCACCGCAGCGGGGTCTTGGTGGGGTAAAGCCCGCCAGGAATGGGGCCAGGAGGTCAGCGCATCCCCACGGCGGAGAAAAGCCGCCTCCGGGCGCTTTGATCTCCCCGTACACAACTCTGGGTGTTGTTTACACCAGCAATGCCGGGTCAGTGTTTTTCCTGTTTGGATTTACCAGAAAGTGCAGGAAATGGCCCGAGCCCCGGCGGTGCCGTCGGTTTGCAGATGGGCAGGAGGGGTAAATCGGGTCGTGGCTGCAACCCCTTCCCCACCAGCTGGCGAGGAGGAGGAGGGGAGAGCCCTGGGCAGGGCAGGGGGACATGGGGACCTCCAACAGCATCCCTTACCTGGCATGGAGAACTTGGAAAAGTCCGGCAGAGTGTGAGAAAAGGTGACGGTGCTCCCACCACTGGGGCTGGACATGCCGCTGGAGAGGGGCGAGGACGCCTTGCCGTTGATGGTGGCGTAATTGGGCAGGCTGTTGGAGCGGTCCCCGGCCGACATCCGCCGCTTCTCGGGCAGCGCGGGCTGTGGCGTGGGGCTGCCTTGGTGGTAGGCAGCTGAGTCCGGGGAGGAGGAGTGTGGCGTGCTCGTGCCGGGATAGTACGCCGGCAAGACGGGGAAGGACGGCGTGGAGGGAGGCTGGTAGCCCGAGGAGCTGCTCTGCCGAGACAGCGTCGGGCGCCTCTCCTCCGGGCTGGGGTAGCCGTACAGGGGGCTGCCGGGGGGAACGGCCACCACAGCTTGATGCCTGGCCAGGCTGGGGCTCCCCGGGGGGGCCACCAGGTTGCCATGGGCCGCCACAGCGTGCCTGCCCAGCCCGGGGCTGCCAGGAGCGCCGCTCACGCCAGGGTTAACGGCTCTTCGCCCAAAGCCGGGGCTGGGCGGCGTGTTGGTAGCCACTGTCCGGTGCAGGGTGCGGGGGCTCCCTGGCAGGACATGGACCCCCACCACGTTGACCTGCGGCTGCGGCCGAGCTTGGGGGTCCAGCTGGAGGCCAGCTCGGCCATCGGGGTAGTCGGGGCTGGCGTACGCCGAGCCTGGGACCCCACCTTGGACCATTGCAAAGGAAGATGGAGACGAGTTTTGGTAGCTGCTGTGAGCAGAGGGCATCTGCGAGCCGACAGGTGACCGGTAAACAGGCTCAGCCGAGGCATGGGGAGGTGTAACCGTGCCATGGGGGCTGCCCTCCGACGGGTAGCTGCGGAGGGAGGCCCTGAGGAGAGATGAGAAGAAGGAGGATTCAACTCCATCCCTCGTTCCTGCTGCTGGCTGGCACCCTCCTGTGAGTGGTGCACAAGGAAACTGAGGCATGGCGCCAGTGAGCTGCTCACTTGCTCAGAGGCAACGGTGGGATGGGTTCTGCCAGCTGCATGAAAGCAACTGGAGGCAGCTTTAGTTCCCCCATGCATCCAAATTCCCCCTCAAAATATGACTTTCTGAGAGACAGAGCCTTTTTCCAGCTCCTCTCCCAGCAAAATGCCCAGTTAGTTCCACCCTGCCAGCCTTGCCAGGTGAGCTAGTGCAGGACACCCCATGGGCAGGGTGGAGAGGGGACAGGACGATGTCTCCATCACACCACAGGGCACTGATGCTCAACCCAACCCAGGGCTAGGGGATAGCACAGACCCCATCCCTCCTCCTGCCCCGAGGGCCAGGTTCCCAGCGAGATGCTGCCAAGGACCAGTGACCACCAGTGACCGCCACTGACCCAGCTTTGTCTCCTCAGGGCAGTGAGCCGCATGGTTAACCAGGACACCTAAACCCTGCCTGAGGAGACGGGGGTCCTTGCAAAGGCAATTTCAAAGTGGGAGCAAGCCTGTGCACCAGCCAGGATTAGGCCCCAGCCCCACCAGCCCCCAGAACCTGCACCCACTGCCTTACCCGTCCACGCTGTGAATGGGGCTGCTGGTGGAGACGGGGCTGGGGACAGTGAAGGAGTTGGTGAAGGTGCCGTTCCTGGCAGGCACCTCCGGGCCCCCGGGCTGGGTGGCAGGCAGGCTCCCTCCCCTGCCCGTCGTGGCCGTGCGGGCCACTGACTCGACGTAGCTCCTGGGCTCTGCGGCAAAAGAGAAGGGGAAACAGATGAGCCCACAGCTCCCATGGGAAGGGGGCCATGCCCTTCCCGGTATCCCTGTTTCAGCCAGTGAAGGTGCTTGAGCTGAGCTCCTCCAGCTGCACATTTCCCCTGTCCCTCGTCCCTCTTCCCCCAGGGGCTGTGCAAAAACACATCTGGCTCATCTGGGCCTTTAGGTTGCTCCAAGGGATGCTGAAGACCCCCAGCCAGGGCACAGGGAGGGGGGTTGTGCCCACCCCTTTCCCTGAGGGGACCAGAGCAGCACATGGGACCTAGGTCCCTTCCCACGCCACGGCCCCTCCACCCTGCTCTGAGTCAGCATCCCTCCCCGCCTGGGATGCCACACAGCACACTTCGTGCTCCCTGCTCATCCCCAGCCCCTAAAAATAGAGCCGGTGATTCTGCCCAGCCTGCGCTGACTCACGCGGGACTGAGGACGATGCCTGGTGGTCCCTGCCCCGAGCAGCCCACCTCTGCCAGCCATCTCCAGCAGCAGACCAGAGAGCAGCTCCAGCTATTTCCACTGCAGTATCCAACACTCTCACTCCCAGCCCGGCTTGAAACCAGAGCTCACGAGCACGACCAAGAAAAGCAATTTTCCTTTGGAGCTGCCGAGCTGTCCTGAGCCATCTCCAGCAGCAGACCAGAGAGCAGCTCCAGCTATTTCCACTGCAGTATCCAACACTCTCACTCCCAGCCCGGCTTGAAACCAGAGCTCACGAGCACGACCAAGAAAAGCATTTTTCCTTTGGAGCTGCCGAGCTGTCCTGTGCCAGGAGCAGCGGGCTGGGCTGGCTGTCACCAGCCCAGGGCGGCCGCCGAAACCAGGCCC